ATCAGGAAAATGAACTTATTCGCCATATTTTAGACTTTGACTTTGAAATTTTGAAACCAGCAGCACAAGTTTCCTGTCCACAGAGTTTTTAATGTCGACGAGACCTCTGTGTCAACAGTTCCTGGTAGAAATTCAAAAACTTTTGCTAAAAGAGGGGGAGAGCAAGTTGCTCATGTAACATCATCCGAAAGGGGAGTTTTCCCAACTGCTGTAATTTGCACTTCTGCTGGTGTGGCTTTTGTTCCTCCTATGCTAATTTTTAGAAGGTAAAGAATGAAAGCGGAACTGATGGATGGCGCTCCAATTAAAGTTTTAAATTAGTTAAGATATTAAAAGTTGCTTAAGTTAATTTTGTTAAATAATATTGAACAAGTTTCTGTTTACTTCTTTAAAAGTATTAAAAATGTTTTAATGATTTGTATGTTTTATGCTTTTTTTTTTATAAATAATCTAATGTTTCGCATTTATTGTTATATTATTTATCGAAAGTGTAGTAATAAAATAATATTTTGAAAATAGGATCATTTTGCCCCATGTGGGGGATCGTTTTACCTCTAGCATTTGGGTAAAATGATCCTTTTGCAGATATTAACAAACATCATTGTCGTTCCAAAATGTGAAGAAAATCAACATCTTTCTAAATACTAAATTGTTGTCAAATGGAGACCAAATCCTCTAGAAAAGACAAATAAATGTAACGAAATTAGCCTTATTATACCCCAGTCTTCCCTACACAATATTATCTCAACAACACGATTTTATGTCTAATAAATCTATAAATACTAAGTTATTTATTTTTGGAAATCAAACATCTGAAACTTTGGAAAATTAATCTTAAATGGACAAATTTTTTACATAATTTCGAAAAGAATTTGATCGTGTAAATCATTATTTACTTGAAACCAAAATTCCAAAATTTGGGTTATCTATTTAGAAAATAGAAAGTTTATAGTTAAGCATAACGAAAATGTTTCTGGGAAATATCATGAAAATTTTGAAGTACTGCAAGGATCTATTCCAGGACTTCTATTATTTATTTCATTTATTAACGATCTTCCTTCCTTTCTTAATCTTCTATTTGCAAATGACTTCAAAATATACAGGAGAATTGTGTTGAGATTGTGTTACGCTACATATAGTTATGAATAGACTTAATGAATAAAGTGCAAATTACAAACTGAATTTTAACATCAGTAAATAAGTAGAGAAAATGTACTTTTACCAGTTACCCAGATAGCACACGATGTCCACTGGACATCTATATTTTGTCCAAATAATGTCCTGGATCTCTATATGGATGTCCATTAGACATCTATTTTGCGTTATTCCAATGGATTCAGAAATCTAATGAATATTCAAAAAATGTTTATGTTGGACACTATAAAAATGACAAACTTGATTTTATTAGACATTTTGCAAATTAATATCAACATATATTATTAACTTAAAACTGTGTTCGTGGTAATGTCTATTAGATGTCCATAAATTGTCCAAAAGCAATACAAAAAGAATCCATATATGGATCTTCCATGGACTTCCAGGAGTGGGACATTTGTATAAGTTCAAACGATGTACATTGGATGTCCTTCGAAAAAATGGTGGACATCTGTTGGACAGCCGATATATCCATCAATGGACTTCCGTTGGACATCTAACGGATTGACATGTGCTGTACTATTTATATATCTGGTTGGTGGATGTAGATCAAAAATTAGTTTATCATCGTATATTCAACCGCATTTTAAATTTAAAAATTTCCATATAAAAATTAGAACAACGCTGATGTGAACTAATTTAAACTTCTACAATTATTAGATAAGATGAATGTTGATTAGGATGTAAGTATTGAATTGTATAACCAAGTGATGAGGTCTTTGGTTTTTTCAGTTATAAATGAATATAATCAAAATAAAAAGTGATTGGAATATTCCCCACTCGCAAAATTAATCCTACTTTTAATACTTGTATTATAAATAGCTATTGTCAGTAACGGTTCCTATAATACGGAGTTTAAAACAATTTACTTTAAAGCAACCGTATTAGTATAAATAGATGGTGAGCAGATTATTATAACTTAATCTCGATAAGCGTTTCTATACTCATCTCACCTTTTGCAATTTTTGTTTTTCAATACCGCTCGTAAACCATGTAATATCCTCACCTCGAAGTTAATACGGTCTTTAAGACTTTTTCTTCTCCAGGTAATAAGACGACAAAACGGCCGAAGAATAAAATAATATTTTTAATTACCGTCGAGGCTGATTAGGGGGTGTAGACGGTAAGACACGGCGCGATGCATCGGCTGGAACAACCATTTAATATCGAAGTTGATTCGAAAAACGAACAAGACCATCGAACTGCCGATATTCCATTAACAAAACACGTTCGTTTGGCATAAATCTCGTTTTAATAAATTAAATTCTCATCGAAAAATTTTCCCATAAGAGCCTCGCTTACCTTTACCTGTAATATATAGGTCCATTTTTTTACTATTTATTTATGTGCGACCAGAGGCGGCTTCAGCTCACGGCGTAGCAGAGATATCACAAACCGATCGTAAATTCCAGTAAACTCTGTTTAAAATTTTGTAACCAATTTAATAAAACCTTTCCTTCGTTGAACCCAATTCGTCAAATATGGTTATATACCTACCACATAAATTTTATTTTAACAGCAAACGATTTCTTAATAAGGCCACTTTGAAGCCTGCAATAGGTAGTGTTAACATTATAAAGTTAGTACAAATGCAATATTATTACATTATTATATGTTAGTACATACTAAATTATTTTATATTAATTAATTAATCCATATTATTAATAATCTAAATGTTTGTAAATAAAAAGTATAAAATTAAACTAGTTCTTAACTATAGATTTTGTACAAATTAATCAAAATAATAGCCCTATAGGAAAAAAAAATAAAATTTTAATGAAACAAATTAAGAAGAAGCTTACAGTTTAGTAGCAGTACATAAAAATACAAAAAAGATTGAACATTGAAAAGATGGTATGTGAATTTCGTAAGATACAGATAATGCACATTAAATGAGTGAACACTTGTTTTGTGCATTATACAATACAATAAATATTATTCAGTAAATTAATACATGAAAATATAAGAACAAAGAGGATGAACATATTTATAAATAGGTTCATGAAAACTAGGTAGTTTTCATGTATAAAGGTATTTATTTAATTTTGAGAAACTTTTATAATTTTTGATATTTTTTATGTGGTTACCCAACAGATTAAAACATTTGGGTTCTAAAAACATAGCAAATCGTTTACTGCAATTAAAGTTAATTTGTGGAGTTCATAATAACTTATTTGAAACACTTCTAGTCGTAACTTCATGCACAACATATTTTGCTGTTTCTTTTTTTTTTCATGTAAATAATCATAGCGAATGAAAATATAGTGACTTGACATTAAAAAGTTCTGAACTATATAGACATCTAGTTGAGTATATTCTGTCTTTCTTTAGGATCACTTTTAATACATAATTTTGTATAATACTTAGAAATTTGCTAAATTCTTCACAAACATCAACAAAAGGAAAGCGTATCATGTTTATAGTAGCTAACGTAATTCATAACGTTTTCAGATATTTACAATCAATGTGTAGAGTGTAGAGTTTATAAAAAATAAGAAAATCTGTTTTTTCAGATAGATCGGTGTAATTGCATATCAGAATGTATTTTAAATTCTAATCAACTTTTCTTAATGAAAATTTTCGATTTTGTCAAAAATAAACGTACTTTACTCCTGAGCAAAATTCATATTTTTTGACAAACCTCGTATACGGCTTGAAAAATTTGATATCTGATGACTGTATTTTAAATTTTGGGTCATGCAGGACTTTTTATCAATAATAACTTTTTTTCCTAAAATCAATAATAAAAATGTTTTCCATATGGTTCCAACTTAAGTAGACACACTGTATATTAATTTTCTAACTCTTTTTGTTAAGTAGTTAATATGTTCTTCGCATTTTAGGTTTTAATCAATCATTATGCCTAGGTACTTTATGTAATTAGTTTTCAAGATACTTTCATTAATATTTTCGATTTTTATTGAATTAAAGAGTGGACGATTTACATTAGTTTTTGAAAAAGCGAAATATTTGGTTTTGGTAGCATTTAAAGATAACCGATATTTGTCTAACCATTTCTTAACCGAGGAAATGTCTAGTTTAACAGTACTTTCTATATCGGCCCAAGTATCACCTCTGAACAATATGACAGTGTCATCTGCGTATGATATTATTTTACCATTTATGTCCAAAGAGAGTAATGCATTATTGTATAGAATAAACAAAATGGGACCTAACACTGTACCTTGTGGGACACCAGCTTTAATTGTTATGCTTTCACTCACACATTTGTTTATTTTAACGGTTTGCTCACGATTAGTAAGGTAGTTAGCAAAAATATTTAGCACAGTGCCTCTCACACCATAGCATTCAAGAAGTGTTAAAAGCTGGTTGTGATGCACTATGTCAAACGCTTTTGGTAGGTCTAAAAATATTTCAAGACATTTTTGTCTAGTATCAAAATTTTTTATAATTTCATTAGTAACCTCATACATTGCATTTTCCGTACTTTTACTTTCTAAGAATCCGAATTGGTGGTTTAAATTAATTAAAGTGTTCTATGATCTTCAAAATTTATTCGTGCGGTAGGATATACCTATTATAAATCTAGGATAAACAAAAAGGTTTTTATTTAAAGTGGAGAGATTAATTCTAAATTCAAAATTGTCGGATATAGAAGAAAATATTGATAAAGTAAAATTATTGGTTTTCCTCCATATAGAACAGAGATAAAAAATACTGCCTGAAAATCGTATATCATGGTGGTATCAGTAGATGAAAAGTACCAATTAACAGTGAATATTGGGTAAGAAACCTTATATAGTATATATAGTATCTTTTGACGTCCAATATAAACTTAAAAGTCAATTGAATGTGAATGGAAACTTACTATTTTGGTTTTCTAGGCCAAAGAGGAGAAAGCAACAAAAACTTCATAGAAGAAATACGAGTAACAGTATTAAATTTAAAATACATTTCTACAAGTAACTCTGTAGATGACTCAACGTAAAATGATGAATATATTGTTGAAGCGCATGTGCAATATAAAATTATTAATGGTAAAACAATTTTGTAATCAAAAACAATATGGTTTCAACTTTAATAAAAATGATTAATGATTAACAAAAAAATTGAGACCAAAATATAAGAGATGGGGTGAACATTAGCTAATGGTAAACATTTGCTGAATAACCCAACTGTCATTTAGCTAATCGTTTTAAAAATGTAATTAAAAGCAAAAAATATGTGATGGGTATGGAGTATTGATGTACTGCGACCTAAAAGATTTATTGTGCCATCTTCTATGGGTAATACATCAAAGAAATAGTCTCGATGCCTAACGATTATTCCAATCCAATCTTCTCAAGGAAGTGTGGAATTTGGAGTGACTTCAAGTTAGGTAGATCGCCCTCTTCTATTTGGTATGCTCATAAGTATAATGCTCTTGGATTCTGGAGTGCTACACATTCAATTAGAACGTGAATTGAGGTTTTGTCCTCCTCTTCATAAAATCTGCCCTCTTTATCTTCTACTACTTTCAGTTAACTAAGGTAATACCCGGTAAGTATCCATGTTACAATGCGTGGCCTATTTTTGCTCAGGCATATACAGGCTTCCGACATTTTCTGATTATATTTATCCAGAAGTATCTTAGCCCGTCTTAGATCCAAGAAATTGTTTCAATTATCAATTCTTTTATTGCTCAGGTACCACAAAGACTGTTTGAGTCCCCTTCCTTGTGAGACTATCTGCGATCTTGTTACTCTTTTCCCTGTTATGTCCCCGGACCCAAGTGCGAATAATTGTTTTTTCTTAGCCCAGCTCATTTAGTTTTTATAAGTATCTCCAGACCATTTTTGAGCTCAGCACTTTGATGGCTGCTTGGCTACCTGACATGATAATAATCTCTTGTCTGCGATAGTTTTTATTAAAGTTGAACTTTTCTGAACTTCTCAAAGACATAAATTTCCGCCTGGAAGATGCTACGGTATCTACCCAATCTTTTAGAGTGCCTGGTTCTAGGCCCATACATTCCTATTCCGTTCCTTCTATGGTTTTAGAACCATCTGTATACCACTAAATTGCTTGTCTTTCGTTTGCAAGTACGATGGATTCTTGGCTCTATTCGTTCTTGCAGCCCAGCTTTATGGTTTTTTTTGCTAACTATACTTCTTTCTCATTTCGTCCTGGGTCATATCCCAAGGATTACTCTGTTTCTGATCCCTGTAGTTTCTTGTTCTTTTTGTCACGATCACTATCATTAAATGTAGAGTAGTGTCACATTCTAAGTAAATTAGATTAAAATGAAAAAAATAAATAGGCTTATCTTTGTTGAAAGTAGACTTTGAAATATGATTTAATCAGACGAACTTTTATCCCGTTAGATAAGAGTCAAAATAAAGTAGTTAGCGATTTCCTATTCTATTGCTGTTGAGCTATGTTGCCGACTGAGATTTTTTTATACAATATCTCTTATTAATGAGCCTGGTCTGATATAACCTACTCGTGACTCTTCTGACTCAGCAGATTTTTTGGCTTTATCAACTTTTTCATATCCCTCCAAAGCAGACAACTAACTTTACCGGATTCCTTTGATTTAAAGAAGGCCAGGATTGATCCCGGAAGAAGCTAGCACGTGTAAATTTACCTTACTGTTAAATTTGGTTAAATATACTGTTAAATATTTTTAAAATAATGAGAATACTTAAAAATGAAAAAATTAGGATTGACATAAAAATTATTGATATTAAAATCCGGACCTGATTCAATAACATTTAGGTATCGGAGCGATTCTTTATTATAAAAACTCTCACTTTATTTCTTGAGCGCGCTCTGTAATTATAGGTTAAAATTAAAAAGGATCACAATCAAAACAACGGGGACTTCTTCTTCTTGTTCTTCTCTTTGAATCTTCTCTCGGTCGATTCTCGATAAAAAAAAAGAACGTGCAACAACTTGCGACTCGATGCTATGAAGTTAATAAGTTCACGCCCAGCTATTTGAAATATGATTTATAATTTTGACAGCTGAGGGTTTTGGTGCTTTTAGTCGCTCGGATCCTCGAATATCGGGGGATTTTTCGGATTCACCTGTCGACATCGATTCTTTCGGTTTTTAACTACTTCCTCTATTGCGCAGATGGTCCGGTTTTGTGGTAGTGACGATGTAAAAAACTTGTGGTGGTTTAGTGGTTGGGACGTACATCGACAAAAACCCGAGAGAAACCACAAAAGCGTTTATCACTCAATTATATACTCGTTATCGATTGAAAAGCTTTAATACAATCGTTTACGGATTAAATTTAATATATTTATTATAGTAGGAAAGAGATAACGTCCAAGTATCTGACAGTATTAAATTATTAATCAGTAGATTAGGATAATTAGGCTTAAATAGTATAAATGAAAAGCTTATTATCACACTAATAGTTGGTGGTCCGAGGGACCACTACAGTAGGTCGTACGGGCGTAAATGAGCGATTTGTGGACAAAAAACTGCCAAGTTTTCTCAGTGTTTTAGAGGTGGTTTAACGTCAAATATAGCTGTCATTTATGAAGAGCAACGTTTGGTATATTATTATTAGCATTTTGTGAAAATTGCAGTATAGTTAAGTAGTTGTATTTAACTAAGTAGTAATTAAAAATTTGTATTACATAAAAAAAATACATTTCGTTATTCGTAAATTTTATTGAACGTTCATGCATCTGGCTGTCATTGTTTTTTTTTTTATTTCTAAATAAGTATTACCTATAATGATAATTGACGCTTACGTATTATTCATCGTTTAATTTCTTAGCCTTTTATTTAAATATGTTATTTTTTTGTTTTTCAAACTATTCGAATTAAAACAGTAAATAAACAATAATACAAAACAATATTTAAAATATATGAAAATCTCACTTCGAGGAACCAAGTCGCTGCTATCAGGATACAATCGAAATGCATTTACAGATATCTACACTACTTCTGGATATGTAACGTGTAGAGGGTGGGTTACCCCACGGCACTTAGGCCTCACTAGGTCCATTGTGTATCCACCCAAAATGATAGGCACCTCCTAGCTCGTGAGCCAGCATACATATTTAATGTAGTTGATAACGTCGCCAAGAGGTGCTTCTCTTATATCTATGTATCTCTATGTATCTCTATGTACAAAGAGAGTGGTACGTTTGTGAAGAGGTAGAAGGGACTCTCAGGAAGTGTCATCTTGCAAGGATTTAGGTTAAAATCCCTGCAAACGAGACGTCAGTCAACTCAAAGTTGACTACACATATTTGATTAGATAACTCACTTTTTTATTTAAAAAAAAATAATGAAAATTAAAAAAACGTACTATTTTTGTTTATTAAAGTACTTTTTATTTATAGTAGTAATAATATACTAAACTGAGCTTCGTTTGCAGGGGTATTAAACTAAATCCTTGCAGATAACACTTCCTGATGGTTTCGTCTACCACTTCACAAAATTCCAGTCTAAAGACATGATAAATCAGTAAAAAATGCATGATTTTTTAAATGGTTTGGGATATAAGTAAAATATACCTGATGTCGAAACAAATATACATTGTTTTATCATCATCTGGGCCTCAAAATTGTCTGACAAAGTTCAATTCCTCAACTCCTCACAATTATCTGTAAAGTAGAACTCAAAAATATAATTCAGAGTTTTACAATTTCGGCGAGATCTCCCTGTCTTTTTCAAGTGACATTCGACACTAGGAATATTATCTTTGAGTTAATTATACAAATAAGAAAAAAAAATGTAAGCATTTTCAAAGGATTTCTTTTTATCCTCTCATTAAACCATACAAAATTTCTACCACTAAAAAATTGCGATGTTAACGAATCTAGCAACCATTGACTTTAGTACTGATTTTACTGTATTTGACTCGTAGCACTAAAAGCACTTATGTACCTATTAAAATTTAATATTAGTTTTTTTTGTGATTTTACTGCCTCACACTTCACTGCCGTCGATCGTTCAGTATACGCCTGCGAGTTTGAGGTTATGTTTCACCAGTTATTTCGCTCCCGAAGACTGGTATGCGTGTAATGTACGACGCCATAAGAATATGCACGGTTCAGAGTCGCCGGACAACAAAATAAAATGTAACTTACATGATGGGTTTGACAGTTCAGAAGAGACGAGATATTTTATTTCTGTCTCTCTTTGTCTTTGGACTCGGTTTTTGTTTACGGCACCCGGCAGCAGTCGCGGGAATGTGCCTCGGGACATACCAATGGAGGCGTTAAGGAGAGGCGCAGTCGGAAAACTGCCTTTTGAATGATACGATGTCGAAGATTAGCTATTTTTAAAATGGGAATTTTTAAGAATTTTTATTTGTACAGATTGTAAATTTTTAAAGTAACCCTTTATGGTCAGGATTTATTTATCTCTATATCTTTCGAAATACCCACAATCAAATTATATCGATAATGGTTCACTGCTGTCGATATTTTAGGAGACATTTTAGGAGACATTTTATAGAATTAAGTGAAATAACTTCTGTTAGGACTTACAATCTTAAATACCGACATAAGGAAAAAAATCAAGATTTGTATTGACTCATAATTTATAACTGTTATGTTCGAATGCTCCGAAACTTCGTCAAAACTTTGGATAAACAACCTCTTTATTAATATACAATTACTTTCATTTTGGATTTTGACCCTTTCTAAAATACCTATCATTAGTAATTTCATGTTTCTTGCAAAAAGAGTGTCATAAGAAACACCGGAACCAGACACGAACCCAGGAGAACCAAAAAGTAGAGTCCGGGGTTTCATAAACGACTGGATTCGGGAACAACATATCAACTATTGGGGAAGTACCCCAAAACAGGCACATGGAAAAGCCTTCATAGGCAGACCATGTCCCAAAAGAACTGGAGAACTATTCTTAATGAATAGGAACCAGTTGAAAGTGATAACAGGGTTCATGACTGGGCACGCCCCAGTAAAGGGACACTTGAACAAAATTGGCATGTACAATGGGGAACTCATGTGCCGA